TTCATGCCATTTCATGCTACGCATATGATGAAGGAAACCGAGTTCCCTCCGACCGTGCGGAGGAAAGATCCTATCTTTCTTGTTTGGATATTGCTCAGTGCTTCAACACCGATACCAAGAAGATGGTTGACTATGCATGGAGGCCTGTTACCGATGCCAAGTTGCTAGGTTTCTTGGGCAGTGTTGCATGCAAGAAGAGAGGTTGGTTCCCTTATGAGAACGGACATGCCCTCGTTTCTCTCTCATCGGGCCAAAACTCCTCCGTACTCCTGCACCTGTTTATCAGGTAAAGGACTATCCATATCGTGTCTCTATGGTTCTGAGAAAGTGCAATCGACGTCATCATAGACTCAGGTCCAGGTGCTGATGAGTCGTGCCTTCCTGCAGAAATGGCATGGTGTGGTACGTCACTCGGTGGTGCCACTGCCGATTTTGCAGATGCCCAGATTTACCTGGTGGACATCATGGATCATAGGACTGTGCTGCTTGAGCATCCAAATGCTGCGGGAGACTTGCAGTGCTTTCGTGAATCTTGCTTGATCAGCAGTGTGAGCAGCCCGTTGTTTGCCGTGGGAAAACCTTACAAAATGGGTTGGGGTTGCTTTTTGGGATGATAATAAGTTTTATCTTGGACTGCAGGGTGAACCCGAGACTTACATCCCCGTATGGTTTAAGCACAATTCCTTGTATGCCAGATGCTACGTGCGCAGAGTGCAAGCAACAGTCCCGAGGGCTGCACGCGTGGTTGCAAGTCTTGGTGATGTGCTTAGCAAGCTAGCCCCGAGGTGTCACGAGTTTCAGGAGCTTGTGCCAGGAGTGTGGTGCTTGTTTGTGGTAAGTGATCACTTCATTGAAGTGACAGCTGCAATGCGCACTTCGGAGCTTCCTTACCGCGCCACTCTCATTGAGGATGAAGGCAGCTGGAAGTTGGCTGAGATGTCTCAGTCTGTGTGTGTGCTTGACGACGCCGCAGCGGCTCTTCCCGAGGTGACCGAGCCCTGCAATTGCATCGTGTTTGCACGCAAACATGTGTGTGCGCCAGCTGATTTTGGGTGTAGTGTTCCTGAGGCCCCCTGAGTTTGCAGCACATGCTCAGTCGTCTGCAGCAGCATCCGCTGATGCCCCAGATGATGCGCTTGAAGTTGAAATGGAAGATGAGTTGGCTGATGAGTCAGTCGATGGCAAGCCTGATGATGATCTGAGTGCAGAGCATGCCGCTGCTGCTCAAGCAGCCCTGTGCCTGTTGAACTTGCTGTTCAGGGCGTTATCGTACGCCGTGGTGACACCTTGAAGACGCTTAGACAGGCATGTGAGCTGCGCGGGAAAATCGGGCCGCGCAGCTACTTTGCACAAGCGACCTGCATCTTCGCTTGCCGAGAAACAGCTTCATGAGCGTACGCATCTTCCTTACAGGAAATGGTGCAAGTTCTGTGTTCAGCACAAAGCCCGCAGCGATGCCCACCGAGCTGTTGATGCCAGTGCGCTGCGATCCTGAAAATGTGCGCCTGGCCCTTCAGCAAGAGGTCGCTCGAACACGAGCCAGGATTGGACAGTCAACACACGCAGGTTGCAAACGAATGTGATTTTGTCTTCTTATGAAGCTGGCCCAGGCCAGAAGGTCACTACGCAACATCCGCTTCACGCGTGGGCGACACGCCACGCGAGCTGGCTGCTAAACCGTTATGCAACCCGCTCATGAGGAACAACTGCATTCGAGAATGCCACTGGACATCCCTACGGCGGCAAAGTTGTCAAGTTTGGACAATGTGTTTTGTGCCTGTGCAAGAACTTGGGCAGACCTGTCAAGGGCAGTCCAAAGTGGATCCAGGCCATGTGGCTAGGAAAATCGAAGTCTTCCGATCAGCACATGTGCATCACTGTTGGTGGAAAGCTTGCGATGTGCCGTTCCATTCGGTGCTTGAGCAAAGTTTACGATCCTTCGCTGCATGATGTTCTCCAGGCGCAACCTTGGCAGCACGCAAGCTTCCTGGTGGGGACTGCTGGAAAGTCGCAAGCTCCAAAGCAACTCAGCGCTGCAGCAGCGCCCGCTGTTGATGATGAGCTTGGTGTTGGTTTTGTTGAGCCTGGTAGCCCTATAGAGATGAAGCAGCTTCGGATCCCCCGTCAAGTGCTGAGAATGAGGAAGATGGCGGGGCGAATGAGTTTGCTCCTGTGACTCTTGAGCAGAACTTTGATGATCAAGTCGTTAATGATGATGCCATGCTTGATGATCTTGCGCCTCGTGCGGCCCCTAGCCTCTCAGTTCCATCTTGAAGTGAAGTTTCGTTGCCAGTCACCGGCGGTGCAGTGGTTAGCGCACCTGTTTCCAGCAGTACAGCGGTCAACGCGCCTGGCTCGCATTCTCGAGAGGCCGAGCCGCCCGGCGAAGATGAAAGGCCAGCAAAGGTGTTGAAGCCCAGTCCAGGTGCACACAAGGCTCCGAGGCTTCAGGCTGTGCAGTGTCGTGGTGGAGCGCACAATGATGTATTGATGCCCTTGAGGATTATGATTATGCGCTAGAGGAGTCTGATTTTGTTCAGACATTTGATGACAGCGCAATCCTGGGCACACCAAGCGCGCTGTATCATCCCAAGCCTGCGGATGGAAGTGAGCCTCAGCTGCCAGCTGAGGAACTTGAGTCCACCGACAGCCTAGCCGAAGAGTTTGAGCTTGATAGGCTTGAAAGGATGGGCGTTTTAGCACCATTGGATGACAATGACCCTTTTGTGTCAACAGCGCGTCTCCTTTCAGCCAAGTACGTCACGACATGGCGCTTCAAGCCGGACCCTGCAAATCCTGAGCAAAATGAAGTGTGTCTGCGACGGAGCAGACTGGTTGGACGTGAGTTCAGCTGGTTGGAGCCAGACCGAGAACAGTTGTTCTCACCTGCTTCGAACGATCTACTTATCAGGCTTCTTCCATCCCCGGCAATGACTCTCCGGCATCAGGATTCGATGCATTTTTAACTGTGACGCAGAAAATTGATACATGCATCCGTGTTCAAACAGCAGGTGGAGGGCACAAGTTTTATCGTTTGATCAAGATGTTGCCAGGACAACGCGATGGGACGCTTAATTGGGCGGATGAATTCACTGCCTTTCTTAAGGAGAATGCATCAGTTGAAGCTTTGCGCAGTGTCCAGCTGTGTGCAGGACAGCTGATTGCAAGGCAGGTCTGCTCATCCATGTGGGTGATATTATGGCGCAGGACAGTGCAGCAGACTTCATGAGATTTCAGCCGCAATTCAGAGCAAGTACGCTTGCGTGGCTGATTGGACCTGGTGATGCAATAAGTTTTTGAAACCCACATACGAACTTCTTGATGGCTCCACGTTGGCACATTGGTAATGAAACCACACAACACACATGTTGAAAAGCTTGTCAGCATGCTGCATTGAAACGAGGCGAGTGAAATCCACGCCGATGCCATCAACTGTTCCCTTAGACTCCACACCGTTTGACGAAGAGCAGGCGGGGATTTTTAGGAGTGCAGTCGGTGTGCTGTTGTGCTCAGCGCCCGATGTGATCGAAGCTCAGAACTGCATTAGATTGTTGTCGCAGCAAATGTCATCTCCAAACGCCGGTGGGATGAAGCTGTTGAAGCATTTGGTGTGTTATCTTAAGAGTGTGACTGGATACTGCTTGGCCTTCTCCGTTCCGGAGCTCGGCAACGGCATTGTCACCAATGGCAATCAAGGCCATTGTCTTGAGCTTTTCACAGATGCACACTGGAGCGGCGACCGTGAGAGTCGCAGAAGCGCTTCATCGAACGTGATTGCATTCAATGGCCATGTTTTGGCCACTGCCTCGAGGGCCCAGAAGTCGATCAGTTTGTCTTCGTGTGAAGCGAGTGTTCTTATGTGAGCGGAATGTGCGACATGATTTACATAAGCAATGCGCTGGAATTTCTCTTGAGTGAGCCGATTCTTCGTTTTACATTCATTGATTCGTTTTCAGCCAAAAGCTCCATCACTCGTCAGGGCGTTGGACGCACACGCCACCTGGACGGGAAGTTGCTTTGGGTCCAAGGGCTTTCCAAAGATGGATACATGCAGGTCAGCGGAATAAGCACTCACCGCAATCCCAGCGACCTGGGAACCAAGAGCCTTTCCAACGAGCGGCTTTTGAGCCTTTTGCATATGCTGCATGTGATTGACATTGACCACGGCAATGCTGCAGTTGGTATTGATGAATATCTTGAAATGGAACATGAGTTGGCCACGAGGGCCCAAGTCCGTCGATTGCAGCAGCCTGAGACTTTGTCTGGACAGAGCGATGTGCTGATGAATGCACTCAGGATTGCAATGATCCTCAACGAGATCGGTCCCGCAAATGCGTTGAGTCTGGTTGCCGATATGAGCCCAATCATGCTGCAAGCATGGACCGATGCAATCTGGTTTGTCAATCTGACGTTGGATTTGGTTCAGACATTGGCAGAGCAAATGATTGTAAGTGCCATCCAGCCCAGCCTTGATCATCCGCGTGCCGCTGTGCTTGCCGGAGGGTTGTTGGTTCTAATGCCGTGGCTGGTGGTACTTAGTGGGTTCTTGCGTTCGCCGTCCGCTTCCGGCAGTGAAGCACCCAATGCAAGTGCAAACGTAATCACAAGTGATGCGCCCGCGGTGCAAAGCCCCTTGGAGTCAGAGCCGGATGCTGAAGCAATGACTCGCTTGAGGGCAAATGCAGATGAGGCTGCGCCAAAGGTGCAGCAAAGCCTAAGGCAAAGGCGAAGGCATCGCACACGATGCCATCCGCGGATCCACAGATGATCTTAGACTTGTCTCCGTGGTACGTGTATTTCATGTGTGTGTGACGGCGCGGCGAGGAAAGTCCTACCACAGCCACCGGAGTTGCAATTGCTTGAACATGGCTGAGGAGATCGTTCGTTTTGGATTGGAGGAGGCAAAATCATGTGGATATGTGCCACGCAAAGGGTGCTACAAACTGCCAAAGAAGGACCAATGATTTGTTTATAGTTTATAATGCTCTTGATGCCACATCATCAACAGGCAGCTTGGCGCTACTTGTTGATTGTCTGGGCTTGTACAGCCGACTTGTACATAGCTTCATGAGCTGAGAGATAGGCGAATGGATGGCCGTGCATTCTGCACCAGTGGCCAAGAAGGGATCATGGAGTCCCACATACACCATTTTGGTGTCAATCTTGTGAACTGCCGAAATACCGATTGCGATACCTGTGGAGCAGCTTGAACCTGCGTGAGCATGCAATGTGCATCTGGACACTATGTAGAGTGTCATAATCTTCACTGTGTGAATCCTTAAGGGAGTTGCTGGGGCGACTTCCAGTCGCATGGAACCCACATGAAACATCTTGTGACTTGAGTGGGATCGAAATGACTTCACTTTGATTGATCCTTGAACACCTACACTTGGGTGAGTCAAGCTATGATACCTTTGACTTTTGAGTCACCGAGTATCATGATAGGAGTTGTGCACAGACTTAGTCCTTGAAACATAGTTCAGAGTAGCTTTTGCGATGCCAGATCGACGTGCGTCAAACGCGAGCTCGGACTGCTGTAAACAGCGTTGCTCAGAGACTGAAAGGCCATCGTGCGCAACTGAGAGCGACGGGCTGAGTGCACACGTTGGCGACCTTGTGTGAGGCATTTTAACTTGTGTAAATTTCATGAAAACCTGCTCATTGTGTCTGAGCAGCTTTTCGCGGGGTGCTTGAAATTTCACTCGGTTTAGGGCTTGTTTTCCTTTGGTGCCCGAAACTGTTTTGCACGACACGTCGTTTTGTTTACACGTACAGTTTTTGCCTCACGGGTTGTCATGTGCATTTACGGTCATGTCGTTATGTTGCGGGCGTTTGAACATCGAGGAAAATTTTCAATACGAGTCCCTTCGAGAAACACCCTGGTGGAATCGAAAAGCTTCTCGATGAACTCAGACGTGCCGCCGAGAACGAGTTCCGTCCTCTCGTTGGCCAAATCGGTTTCCCTCGCCCAGGAGAAAGCGACATTCGGGAAATGAAGCCGAAGCCTGATGATCCGGGCTACGCAGGGAAGTTGGAGGCACACCTAGCATTCCTCAAGGAATGGGAGGTGTACCGCGAGATCCAGCATGTCAGAGAAGACTTCTCCCTGCTCGTCTCGGTCATTACAGGAAGCGTACGGGCCTGACTTCTTCACCTACATTCAGCGCAACGTGCAGAATGCGGAGATTCGTCGGAAGTACCTCGTCAAAACTCCTGAGGGGTACGGCCTGTGTGATTCCACACTTCGGCAGACCTTCAACGGTCCCTACATCCTCGCCTGCCTTGAGAAGGCCTTTCTGCAGAACGCCGAGCACAAGGACTTCAAGTCCAAGTTTGGCCGGAAAGCGAAGAAAGACTTGATGGCATACCTTGCTCTCAGGGAGAAACGTGAAGCTGAACTGGAAGAACTCTACTCTCGTCCTTACGGGGACATTGCTGTGGAGGAGTTCCTGGAAAAGCTTCCCGGTCCGCAGCGATGTGCCGATTATGGAGACGTCCAGAAGGCTCTCCACAGGGAGAGGTATCTGGGGTGAAGGTCGAACCTACCGAAGGCTTTGCACAGGGAGAGGTATTTGACGCCAAGATGAGCACACGGGTGACACGGAGGCGAACAACGACGTGGCCGTGGTACCAGAGGCGTCCTCACCTGATGAGATGCCTATGCCTGACATTTCTCCCGACAAGGATGCTGGTCCAACTCTTCATGATCAAGGCATCTGGGCGAAGTGCGAAAACGTCGCTGATCCGGACAGCAACATGGAGGACGCCAAGGAGAAGTACGGCCTCGAGGATACCGAAGAGTACAAACAGTTCGTTACCACCATAGCCAAGCGCGAGAGGACGAGCCCCATGCTTCTTCTGATGGATCAAGTCCGAGGCTACGGGTACAGCGGTTTGTACCACACAGGTATCCGAGATGAAGTATATGACCCTGTCTCCGCGTTCAGGTGCAGCACATCAACTGGCGCGTTCGACGGGAGCCACATCCAGCTCAGAAGTTCTTCCTTTCGGAAGGTGACCTCTTCAGGCAGTTGTGCACTGTGGCTCCTATCTATGAACGTCGCCCAGATCGCCTGGACTTTATCTTTCGTACGGGTGATGTTCGCTCCACACTTGACGACAAATTGATGGAGAGAGCGTTTGCTTCCCAAGCTGCAGCGCTGGAGGCACAAGAGGCTCTCTTGGAGAAGGTCAAATCTCTTCGCAAAGATGACCAACCTGCTACGTGGGAGGAGCTCCTCAATGCGATGCTCCATTACTCTCTCGGTGCTGGTGTGGATGAAGAGGAGATCGGAGACTTGTCATTGGACAAGATACCGAATCCCGCTCTCTTCCGTTTTGGGTTGGCAGAGGATGGGCCTGTTCCTATCTATACTAATCTATACCTCCAAGTCCAAATACACCGCACTGATCCTCAATGGAATCAATCCCGCGGCAGGAAAAGGACAGCGCCGTCCGTCTTCTCCAACTACATCGACTACGACAACTCCGGCGAGTCCAAGGGAGCGCTCACAAAGTCGATTGCTCAGAGCAAGTCGCATCTCTTCATGTTACGCGGTGTCGTCTCAGGAGCTTGACTTCCTGCATTCCAGAGGATGGGAGACGATCCAGAATGCCTCCAAGGACATCCTCATTCGACAGCAGAACCTATCTCGTTGGTTCTTCACTAAAGCGATTAGCAGGCTCGACACTGGTCGGGGTAGCTCATTCGCATCTTCCTCT